TGAAGGATGACTTGATGCTCGACAAGACATCAATAAATTTTTATAACGCTGTGTTCGGCAAAAATAAACAAAAATAATTTTTTGTTTTTGTCTGTCTCTACTCGTTAATTTGTACCACCCTACCAGAACTTACCATCTCTACAAGCTACCTCTCTAAATACTAACAGCGATACCATTCCCAAGGAGAACATGGACTTTTGTTTAAGAAATGCTCGTGTATGGTTTGTCACAATATTCCTGATATTATCGATACATCGATCCCACTACAGTATAAACAAGAATTTGTCTTAAGAAACAAAAGCCGCTGCAAGTCACCTAATTACACCATTATTGACGATTATAGTGGTTCCAAAAATTTTAGCGAAAATGCTACAGGATATTGTTTGGCAAAACCATTGATTTGGATATATACTGCCCAACATGCAACACTTAAAAAAAAAAAAAACAAGCGAAATAAAATACTTATATTATTTATTGATATATAAATATTACTATTACAATACAAGCACCACTATCACTACTAATTCTACTACTAAAACATTTCAACACTTTTAACGCTACTAACACTACTACTGACACTATGAGATTATATACATTTTATTTTTACATATAGTTTCTTTAATTTGTCGGATTTTTGAATACTTTTTTTCATTTCGTTTTCTGCACCCCGCAATTCACTTTGTTCTTCCACTAACTGTCTTTGGAGAGTTGCAATTTGATTTGCTAATTTTTTAATGTTTTTTTTGCACTTTTTTTGTTTTTGCACTAGTTCCCTTTGTCGCGTATTATGTCTGTCCTGCGCTGCCCTACACTTCCACTTAAAATTATACAATAATGTAGATGCATTGTCTTCGTCTTCGAATTCATCACCCGAATCATCAGGTGCAGCAGGATGAGGTGTATCAGGGGCAGGTGTTGGTTGAGACGTCGGTGGTGATGGTGATTTGCGGACCGGTTGTTGCTGCTCCTCCTGCTGCTGTTGCTGCTGCTCCTGCTCCTGCTCCTGCTGCTCTTGCTGCTCTCTCTGCCTCTGTTCGTCTTCCTCCGTAACTCCGTAAACATTACGAAGGAAAGACAAGCTTTTTCCGTGCGCCTCTAACCCCTCAAACAGTGAGGGCGTCATAGAGACGCACGGCTCCTCCAGCCCTGATATATCTAGCTGGGAAGGTGTCTGGGAGTCTTCCACAGCGGAAGTGGAGGCGTCCTCACTTTTTGTTTTTAGTTTTTCAATTTCTTCCTCAGGTAGATCTGCAAGTCTACGCAGTTTGGGCAAAGGCGGCTGAAAATAAAATAAATACTTATAAACATTTCTACATTTTATGAATATAAAAACATTTTTTTTTTTAAATTAATCAAAAATAAAAAACCTACCTGTATCACTACATCCTGGAGGATGTTAATTTTTGGTTTCTTGAGACTCAAGGAATACTTCATATTTTTTTTTTTTCAACAATTAGCACTTAACACTAACAGACACAGAATTAAGACAAACAATTACGAGTTCCTATGCAAAATATATAGGAAAAATAATGCAGAATATGCAGAAAATAAATGGCGAAGAAGGGTGAAATGTCAAATCAGCAGTTTTACATGTCCATATATGGTCATTTAAAGATTGATTGCAATGAAGTAGGAGGGTGAAATGTCAAATCAGCAGTTTTTTCATGTCCATATATGGTCATTTAATAATTTATTGCAATTCAGCAATTCTTCAAACTATTTCCGTGTGAATTGCAATTCAGCAATTTTTTGATATTTGGTATATAAAAGTAACTTTTGTAAGCATGTGAGTACAGTTCACACATCAGATATGTTCTCATTAAAAAACACAAGTTTCATTTCTCGCAATCTTGATATATCTTCACTGAATGAAGAAAAACGTCGTATCATTCAAACAGTTGAAAGTTTGTTACATCAAAAATTTCGGTCGTCCAGAACTTTCATGGCTGGGGGATGTGCAGCGTTTCTCTTAGGTCGGACGTCTTCTTATACAGACATCGATATTTACGTCGAAGCAGATGAAAATACACAAAAATGGGCTAAGGATAACTGCGCAGACAATCACATGTCTAAATATGACTATCTTTATCAGTCCAAGTGGCCCTGCTGCTATTTGAAGTTTGATGGATTTATATTTAATATTATTTTTGTTGAACCTCGTCTTCAATTTTCGTTGGAAGCCAGAATTCTATGTATCCTTAAATCGTTCGACTTAACCGCGTGCAAAGTGGCAATACACTTTTCAAGTGGAATAAATCCTGTTCTTGTAGAATGGAAATTAACTGACCTGAACTTCGATAATGTCAAGAAAAAGGATCGCATCATTAAGTATAAGAAAAGAATTGAGAAAAATGAAAAGGAACAACGATTCGATCCCAACAGTTTGTCTATGTTGGCCTATACCGTCGTGGTAGATCATGATGACTCATATCGTGCTGCTGGACAAATACTTTGAAAGATATTTATATAACTTAATATTGTTATGCTGAATCATTGTAGTGTTGATTCCGTTAGATAAATATGTAAGAGGATATTAAATAAAACTCACAAACGTAACTAATTGTTTTATTGAACTAATATGTTTATACATTTTCAAACATTTATTGAACTATTGCATTTGCTACAGTGAGTGAAACAAATTAGTACTAAATAAAGAAACACACACACGCACAATTATTTTTGTGTGTCTTGACATGTTTCCGTTTGCCGCCTTCGAAACGATGATATATTTTTTTTAATATTTTCTGAATACGTCTCTGGCAGCGTGCGAGATCCAATGCATCGCAAGCTTTTTCGCTCTCCGTCATCTAACACCTTATTGTAATAATTTCGAAGGAATGCGGACATGTTTACGTTATTGTGGATTAATTCTGGGCGTAATTCAACGATTTCGAAACGAAATTGATATATGGCAACGATTTCATTATTTTGTACATTAATTACTGCATGTTTTTTTTTTATATATATATATATAAAATCTGGTGTGGATACAAAAGTTGAATATCCGAATTTAATTGGGTCGTATTTATTTATGTTAATTTTCAATCCCAAAATTTCATACAACGCCCAACCGGAATCCTTTTCTGCAAATTTCTCTAATTTTTTCATGATTTTATCAATGACGTTTTCTTCGTACCATTCTTTTAAATTTGTGTTTTGATCAATGTGTTATTTTTTGTTGAAAATGTTTTAATGTCTGTTTCACTAGAGTGCGGTTGAATAAAATTTGCCGAAAAAATTACATTTACCTTAAGCATTGAGTTTTTCACTTCTTTTTTAATTCTAAACATAAAGCATTTAAAAGATTGTTGAAAAAAAAACTGAAGAGGATCTTTAACATGGTGGTTACTTATAAATCCTGTACGAATTCGTTGTTGAAAGCAGGATTCGACATCTTGCCATGTTACATTAGTCACCGATTTAAATTTGTTGGTTTTAATATAGCCTTCACCAGTTTTTATAGATAATAATTGTTTTTTCTTATTTAAAAGCTTTAGGTGATAAAATTTCAAATACGTCAAGCTTGTTCCTAAGGAATTTGCGTTTTCCAATATATTTTCTCAGGGGATTTTACATTTGAGTGCTTTTCTAATTATTATTATACTGTTATAACTAAAAAAATGTTTAGTTTCTTTGATTGTTTTGATTTTACTTAAGTATTCATGAATTAGCTTAAGAGAGTTTTTACATATAACCCTCACTGATTCTTGTGATTTCATTTTTTGTCGTGAAACTTGCTCACCACAGCAGAAAAAAAAAAAAAAAGAACACTACTATGACCCGTGGAGTATATTGTATTGAATTGTAGCGTTGATGCTCTTAGATTAACATGTTGAAGTAAGTATATTAAATAAAACAATCTAGTAGCTAGTTGTTTTATCGAATCATACATTTGTTGTAGATTAACATGGTGAAGGATATTAAATAAAACAATCAAAAGTAGCTAATTGTTTTATTGAATCATACATTTGTTGGAGTATTTTATTTGCTAAAATAACTGAAACAAATTAATCCTAAATAAAGGAACACACAAAATACGATTACAAAAATAATTGCTCCTATCGAAGTAAATATCCATAGGGGAAGTTCAGCCTCCCAGAGTTTTCGCTCCCTCTCCCAGGCATCCCGATGACAGTTGAAAATATGTTTTCTCAACCTCTTCTCTAACAGCCTGTGGCTAGGATCATAAGGACAAATGATAAATTTTTCTACACAGAAAAAAAAAAAGTTTTTAAAACTTTACATACTACAACAAAAATGTATAAGCTTACCCATTTCTGCTGTTAAGTATTAACTTATGTACTTGCAAGAAACTTATTAATTCGTTCTTGTGTGTGTGTGATCTTTAATTTATACACCATATTAATCCCCACCCTTGCTTTTTTCCTTCCATTTTTGTTAAGGCTTTCTTAAAAAAATCACAGTACATAATTTTTGCATTACAACAGGGAAGAAAAAATCAATTGAAGAAAAACTACAGTCAATATGATCATTGTAATCTGAGAGATGTAAAATTGTACCTTAATGATACCATGTATCCCTACAAAAACATGAATGTTGATTTCACAAATAATCGGTATGCAATTGTCTATGATATGTTTAAAGAATTCCAGACATCGTTCTTATCCAAACAAACCAGCGAACTTCGATAAGGATGAAATGAAAAATACATCCCTGCACAAGATGTCGTCAGAGTGATGTAAATAATTTCATCTGTTATTGTATTATGTTTGGAGGTAAATAAAACTACATATAACCCATTTTTGTGTATTTTATTCATGGTTACCAGAAATTACATGTAAAGTTTTCTTATAATCATCTAACTTAATCGAGGGCCATTTTGTTGAATCCGGTCCCTCTGTCCATCCTAATGGTATTTCAGGATTGGCTTCTCCTTTGACAATGTTCTTTTTGATCCAGTTGAAAATTCTTCGGTGCTCCTGATTTTGAGAAGGTTGAAATGCGAAAGAATCGTAATTTATTATTTCTAAAGACTCATAGAAAGTACTGAGCGCTTTATGGTTTGCCAAATACGCAGCCCGACACATAAATTCATCCACGCACTGGTCGATCCTTCGATAATTTTTCCGGATATTCTCAACAGGATAGAATATATCTCCAAGATTCTGCCAGCGATTATCACTCAATAATTTATAAATAAAACATTTATACGTTAGAGTATTGTCCAAATAGTTGGTGGTCATCAAAAACTCCAAAGCAGCATAATTTAAATTTTCAATTTGGTCTCTTTCGCATACACGTAGAAATGCATCAATGTAACCATCGACACATTGCTTTCTTTGTAGCAGAATACAAATGTCAAGTGTATAAAAGTCACTTTCACTTTCGGCAATCCATTTAAACACTTCGTCCGGTACAATAAAATCTTTTTTATCGATGAGATGAAGGAATAAATTTAATTTCGTTCGATCACTCGCAGCGGCTTTAAGATATGTTTTGTACACGCTTTCGGATGCACAAAATGCTTGTAAATCAACAAATTGTCTCAAGTCAGACATTGTTGTAATCATAAAATAACCAACATCAGTGAAATTTAATTGCTTATATATGACAATTCCCACTTTTTTTAAATTACGTGCGAAATATGATATCCCCAAGGTTTCGTATCCGTTGCGAATCTTATGACAATTCTTTTGTCATCATTGGGGCTGAGAACTACTTTTTCTTGTTTTACTGTGTAAACAGTATGATGTTTGGACTTGATGAGTCTTTGGGATTTTTCGTAACTTCGATTATTAAATAAACAATCTTTGTAATTTTCAAACGTTATTGTTTTAAGTGATGCTTTTGTACTACCTTTGGATTTCTTAACTAATTTTTTATTGAAATCATAACTTGCAGTTCTAGATGCGTACATTTTAGATCTGAGACCCACAAATTCTAGCATAATCTTACCGTTATTTTCATCTTTCTTATTTTTAAGTTCTATATCATAAATATTATATAAATCATAGTCAGAAGTATCAAATCTATGTGAATCATTCATTAATTCACATATAAACAAAAAACTAGTCAACGGGTCATAGTAGTGTTCTTTTTTTTTTTTCTGCTGTGGTGAGCAAGTTTCACGACAAAAAATGAAATCACAAGAATCAGTGAGGGTTATATGTAAAAACTCTCTTAAGCTAATTCATGAATACTTAAGTAAAATCAAAACAATCAAAGAAACTAAACATTTTTTTAGTTATAACAGTATAATAATAATTAGAAAAGCACTCAAATGTAAAATCTCCTGAGAAAATATATTGGAAAACGCAAATTCCTTAGGAACAAGCTTGACGTATTTGAAATTTTATCACCTAAAGCTTTTAAATAAGAAAAAACAATTATTATCTATAAAAACTGGTGAAGGCTATATTAAAACCAACAAATTTAAATCGGTGACTAATGTAACATGGCAAGATGTCGAATCC